AAAAAAAAAAGAAGCTTTTCGAAGCGACAGGCTTTTTTTCCCGGTGAATGGAGAAGTCTGTTTGAAGTTGTGACTGTGGATCCTGTGAAGAGTTCAAGAGTTCTTAACGCTTTCTCTCTCCAGCAGGTAAATACTGAGGAAAGCTCTCGTTCAGACGCCGATGATGAATGAGAAGTGAGACCTTTCAGATGCAAAGACTCTTGATTTTCTTTTTGCATGTTTGTTTTTTGTCTTTTTTGATGTTCTGCGGGGGTTTTTTGATCAGTTGACCTCATGCGGAAGACCTGCACGCGTTTCAGGTTGCCAGGGGTTACAGTGATTAAAACCTATTAATCACAGAGCGATGGATAATTAAACGCTAAAAGGAGTTTGTCAGCCAAACGAGCCGGACGAGACACGCAACACCGGTTGCCACCCCCCTCCTCCTCCTCCCTACACCTACACACACGCACACTCTCACACAAATCTCTGTTGTGTTTTACCAATCTGATGCCAGCAGCCTCTTTGGTTCGACACAGCGAGAGCTCCTTGTCGAAATGTGTTTAAAAGCGTGGGAAGTGTTGTTTGTGTGTGTGTGTGTGTGTGTTTGTGTGTGTGTGTGTGTGTGTGTGTGTGCATCCAGTTCAGAGGGCCACTCGCAGACGTTCTATAATTAGTTGCAGCCAATTAGCATCGGCACGGAAAATGCAAAACACATCCCGTAAAGAAAGCCGAGAAAAAAGAAGGTTGGAAGATTAGAAAAAAGAAAGAAAAATCATCTGGTATCACGTTCTGTTTATAACGTTGCTGATTTCATCAAGGGGGATCTGTGAATATAACACACTGTATTTTTATTTATTTTTTTACCGTTAGGGTGTAAAAGCATAAAAGCGCAAGTAGAAATCACTGGCGTTATCATGTAATCCTCAGCCGATGGGCGATATCCCCCCCCCCCCAGTATTCCATTCACCGCTACGTCAGCCAGAGCAGACAGAGAGACAGGGAGAGAGAGCTCCTCAGTTTCTCCTCCACTGACGTCTCGTCTCTCTCTGGCGCCAAAACTGGGTCGCCGTGCTAATTCGGCCCTCGCCAAAGCCAGCCGCAGTCACGCACACACGAGACCAGACCAGACGCGGCAGAGGAAGGGGCGGGGCGGGGGCACGAGATGGTGAAAGGAAGACGGCTTAAGTGGCGAAGTATGTGTGCGCACACAGAGAGAGAGAGAGAGAGAGAGAGAGAGAAATCATGAATGTGTGTGAATATGAGCGTGCTTAAGTGGTGCTCCTCTGACAAAGGTGCAGGTCTCCGGCTGAGAGCACGACATGCTGTGTGTGTGTGTACGTGTGTGCGTGTGCAGGGTTGCGTGACATGCCGTTGAAAGTGTCACAGCGAGGGAGGCGATGAAAGAAAGAAGAAGAAAAAAAGAGAAGGGAGGGAGAGCGGTTGACTGGACCCCTCGTCCGCTTGAGTTTACATCAAAACACTGTGTGTGTGTGTGTGTGTGTGTAGTTGTGCATACATGTGTGCAGGTGCGTACTGTACTGTGTGTGTGTGTGTGTGTGTATACCTCCCGGTGCCAGCGAAGAATGGGCTAAAGTGCCCCATACAGTGAGAGCGATCGAGGACACACTGATATGAGACACACACACTTAGGCTGGTCACATCTACTCAGCTCAGCCGGGCCCACCCTAGCCTGACACACACACACACACACACACACACACACACACACAGAGGGAGCTGCGTACTACTCACACATGTGGGTTAGTTCACTCCTCTGCTCGGTCAATGGACCACAGCCTGTCCTCCATAGTCTGTGAACTGCACCGTGCCTCCTGGTACTTTCACGGTTTATGGTTGAGTTGGTAGGAAAGAACACAATCGAGCTATTAGGATGGAAGAGCGCACACTTACTGGAACTATTCCATCTAAAATAAGTACGCTGCCCCCCTTTATGGTCCCCCTGAAGTCCTAAAGTATCACTTCTATATTCTGTATCACCTCTTCACTGAAGCTTTATAGTGCTGAGTGAAATCTTTTCAAACCCAAGATGATTTTCATGCCGTACCATCAAATATAGACTAGAGTTTAAAAACAATGTGTTTTCACATAATGTGCTGATTTGGAGGAATTACTAGAACACTGGATAAAGTGAATACAGTAAAAAAAATAAAAATACGAGATATCACCATGAAACTTCCTCAGTTGATTACTGACATTAAGACAATTCATTTTGGTGTTGTAAGTTTTCTAAAGTTTTATGTTTAAATATGCAAATGTGGCATTATCTATTGGTAACGTTTGGTGAATTTAGGACAAATCTACAAATGCAAATAGACAAAGAAGTAAAAAATAACACTCAAATGTGTACTTTGGATGTTTTCTGCACAATAGTCTGAAAGAAGACATGTCGTGGAAGCGAAATAGCCAAAATGTCCAAACTGACCAGTGCATGCAACATGTTTTTGCCTGTAGTGTCTCTGCTTAATATATTTCATTAACCATTGATCGTGCATTACAATGTAAGGCTGATACCGTATGCTAATTGGTATGTCAGTAAGAGCCAATTGCACAATAGAAAGGTTATTTCAGTGGTTGATAACGTTTGAATCTGAAAACATTCATTCACCCTCTGTACTATTCTGACTGTAGTATCTTCTAAATCCATGTTTTGGATAGCACTGAGTATAGCTGAAATGGTCACAACATTAGTCTGGATATTTTTCCAATATGGACATATGTCATGAAATGGCAAATAAAGGCAAAATGATTAATAATGATCAAATTGATGTGCAATGCAGTGAGCTGTTATGTTCAATATTAATGTCAACTTTTCACATGTGAAAAACAAAAACTACCAATTTGTTTGCAAAATCTAATTATAATTTCCTTGGAAAGATTAATGTAAGATAAAAGATCAAAATAAATCATAGCATTTATGGCAACATCATTCTTAGATCCTGACCTAAATCTGCTGATGTCAGACTGAAGGGAAATTCTGTTCGTTGACATAAAGAATGTTGTCATTGTACATTTCTGCAAACCATGGGATACGTTGAATGAGGACGTTTTTGCACTCAGAGCAAGTCACGTAATATATCGAGCGAGCGTTATCGAAAGTTACGTAGTATATCGAGCGAGCGGTATCGAAAGTTACGTAGTATAGTGACGAGTATGTCAAGCGTTAAGTGGTGGTTGGGAGGGTCAAACAAAAACAGGACTTTCACCCAGGAGACCACTGTTTATTACCCGGAGTAAACAATGACTTCACGCTTGTTACCTCCTGTTGTTTTACTTAAAATTGTTACGCTTGTTATGTAACGTCACGCAAGCAAGTTCGCTAGGGGCGGTGGTTTTTAATTCACTCTAGTTTTGTTGATTTAGCTTCTTTTACAACTCAACCTAGTGGCTTGGAGCAGCAGACTGGAACGGTACGGACTTTTGAAATGACCATGTTGATGAAATAGCTCGAGCGTAAATTGCGGTTACTATTGGAGATGATGAGTAGAGAGTGGAGACATGTGGGGGTTTTACCAATGGTCGTTTTACAGATGAACTGATACCAGTGGATTAATCTGAGGGCGTGGAGTGATGGCCAGTTGACTACAGAGTACAGGCTGCTGTGATGAGTGTTGAAAGGAAGCACCGGTGCGGTTGTTTCGTTATTAGTAGAAGACAAACAATGATCTTTTTTCTAACTCTAACCAAGTGGTTTTGTAACCTAACCCTGGCTTTTCTGGGTTGCGAAATGTTTGCGCGTGCGTCCATGTGTGCCATCCTGGCAGGTCCTTGTAACTCGCCACTCCTCCCCCTTAAGCAGACGGGAATTATTGGCTCCTCCAGTCACTTGAGGGTTTGCAGAAATTGCTCAGAGGCCTTTTTAACTCTCCTGCAAGCAAACTCTCCTCCTGCTCAGTCAGAGCGAGGCTTGAACAGTGCAGGAAAGGGATGGGACACAGAAAGAAAAGAAAGGAAAACGGCGTGAATAAAGGGAGCGCTGAGGAGAGAAAAGAAAAGAATAAAAACAACAGAGACGGAGATTATGAAACACAAGTCAAACGAGAGAGGTGAGGCGTCAGACGAGAAGAAGGTGCGACACTCCCGACACATAATGTGATCGTTATCTGTCAACGTGGCACCTTGGAGAAATATCAGAGGAAGACAGCGGCAGGCGACAAGGAGGATTTAATATTCCTGTCTTATATATTTATATTTCATCACAGAGCTTTGTCCTTTCTCTGGCCTGTCAGCACCTCCTCCCTGCTGTCACTGCTCCTCACTTTTGGTATATTCCTACTTCAAACATATGATGACGTACACACACACACACACACACACACGGGTCATTGAAACTCCAGAGGCAGAGCTGTGATGGCCGTTTGTGACAGGGTGAAGTATCCTCATTGTCCCGGGGTCCCTAAGGTCTAAACAGGTGAAAACATCTGACAGTCAGCTGTGGAAGAAGGGGTTAATAATGGCTTTATTATCTACTGT